GGCAAAGGAAATATTATTCTGTAATGCCACAATCCTGAAAATGCAAAAAGCCCTGTCTATTTTAATGATTCATATTACTTCACCCTAGTGTTAGAGATGAAATGGTGCAGACATGGCTAGAAGAACCTATCTTTTCTTTGCCTTTGATGTCCGTCTATTTATGACATTATTAAGAGAAACACTACACTGTAAATCTGCTGCAGATTTTAAATCCCTTCTTTTTTTTGGTACAGTCTGATGTAGGTTTCATCTTCCACACTCATGCGCACAGAAATCAACAGTTGTGAAAAATCTTTATGCTGACTTTTTATGGCATTCTTCCTTCTGGTGGCAAACCTCCCATTTCTCAGGAGTATGATGATATATCCAACATCCTATTCACATCTAACCAGGAAACTGTGGTGCAATTGACTGCTTTGGGTATTAATATTCAGTCCTTCAGTGGCCAGCTGCAATATTTGTATGGTAGTCCCAACTAATTTCCATTGGATAAAAAAGGGATCATTTCACTCTTGTAATTTCATTTGATTGTACCTCTGGCCCTCCTCTTAAAAATGAAGTGTACAATCTCTTTTGTCAAGCCTGAGCTTATGTATATAAAGGAAATAATGTAAAGTTATATTTTCATGTTTTTATACTTGCTAACATGATGAGAATACGTAATGTATGGGTATTTCAACATTTCAAATACCAATTATGTCAATTGGGTAATACACATCTCATTTTTAAAAGAAGGTAATGATAAGTTAATATCCATGTTACAGTACACCGGTATATTGCTATATAAAATATTCTGTGTGCATTTAAGTGGAACAAAATAGTGAAGAATGATGACAGCTGTCTAAGGGTTTTAAAATTCATTTTATAGAAAACTGTTATGGAACAATCAAAATGTTTATGAACTAATTCTTGTGTAAATTTCAAAATGTCCTTTACTGTACACTTTTGTTTACACAGTATGGTATCTTTATTTCTGCTTTGTTAAGTGGGTATCAGTACAAAGCTGGTCATACACTTTAAATGGCTTTTAAAGCCAGGATCATTTACAGATTTTCATGTGTACTTATATAAAAGAAAATGCTTCTGATTTTATTTTTAAATCTAACACATGACAGCTTTTCTGAAGTGTTGTATAAACTTCAATCATACATAAAAATTTGTCCTTTTTAAAAGAGGCAAATAATAATTAAGTGGTTTTGTTTAATATTTGTATCTGGTTCTTATTCAGAGAGATTTGTTTCAGGAATATATTATCATTATTACAAATAGTTTAAGGCGCAACAGTTTCTGAAGAAATGGAATTTTATTGTGCAGCTTTTGCCAGAGGGGATTCTATCAAGGAAACAGGACAATTCATGAGACATGGTATGGCTTCTAGTACAGTATATATAAATGTTGCTCATATTAACCTTTTTCTCTTGCATAATATAGTCCTCTTGGCTGAGGGTTTATTGCCATTGAAAATGAAAAAAAAACTAGATTTCTAGAACATGTTATTGATAGATTACCAATCAGGACAATAAACACAACTGATATTATCATGATACTAAAATCTTAAGAAGAGGGGAGGAGGAAGAGATGGGAGTGGTGGCACTGGATGAGAGAATAAGAAGAAAGCGATAAACCAGCTGACAACTATAGATCACTCCTTGTGGATATTGTTGATACTGTTTGATTACAGTGTAAACCTGTAATCAAGTGGCATATGCAAGCTTGCCAGCTGCCATTGGTGTGATATGCCTGGGTTGTGCACACTCAACTCTATACCCAACTGTGTGACACATGACTGGCAAAATGTGGCAATGCTTGCACAGTTGCCCTTATGCATACTGTGTTTTACAGTAGGATTTTGGCTGTGATGGTGAGCCATTGATAAATAAAATGTCCCATTAAGTTAATTCTGACTTATGGAGATCCTTTTCAGGGTCTCCAGGTAGCGAATACTCAGAAGTGGTTTACTTTTTCCTTCTTCTAGGACTGTGCAGCTTACCCAAGGCCTCACAGGCTGGTTCTGTTTGCAGGAGGCACACTGGGGAAGCAAACTCCCAACCTCTGTCTCTGCAGCTGGATACCTCAACCACTGAGTTATCCAGCCAGCTATCAGCACTCTAAGCTGAGTTTATTACTGCAGTTAGGCACTAGAAGTTCAGCAAGTGTTTATCGGCCAGTTTTTGTATGTGCTACATAAATTTAAATAATAGTTGAAAGCTAGATTGGTAAATCAGTACTTTTTAATATACATTAAACTTTCATAGCATTACAAGCAGCTTCACATACTGTATAAGTGTAGCAGTGTATCACTTGAAGAAGTTATTTGTTACAATTGCAGCTTTCAAAAGTTCTACGCCAACTCAAATACAGTATATGCCAACTTGCTGTAAAAGAGTATAAAGAATGAAGAGATAATGTATCTTCAAAGGATGGAATGATGTACTAATTGTGGACTGGAATAAGGGCCAGCATTTTATTAACCATTCTATAAGCAGGAACTGTTCTCATCCTTCTTACAGTGTGGATGCCTATTTATAAAGCAAGGGTGGGTGATCTCCAAGGGATTTGTCACCAGATTTTCCCCATATCCTCCAGCCTTGAAATTGCCTATTTTCAGTCATTTTATTTTTAAATAAAAATGACAAGTTTTTTAAAAAAATATTATTATTATTCAAAAACATCAGGCATAGTCAATTAAAATTATAAAAACATTGATGATGATGATGATGATGATGATGATGATGATGATGATGATGATAGATGACTTGGCTAGGCCCTTAAAATGAAAACTGCCTTTCCGAGGACATTTTTTGTGATGGTGGTTTTTGCATTTTTAAACTTATGGAGCTCTGAGGTAACCTATGATAATGCTTATTTGGATCTGTGTGTAGCCTACTGAGTATACGTTTGTTGGACCTTTAAGGAAAGATCACTGAGGTAAGTAATGCTTCATGGTTGCTGGCCATGGCTGATATCTGGTCTGCACTCCCAGCCTCTATGAGACATGCTATGGTACAGGATATTACTTGAAAGTTAAACTACCTTCATGAAGAATTTGGTCTTTATTTCAGGTGCCACTTTGGGTTAGACATTTTTGTGCTCAGCCTCAGTTTTACCTTGTTTATCCATTTAGTAAGCTCCGGCTGTTCCACAGGCCCAGAGCAAAATGAATGCAGGGCTAGGAAGACTTCCTTCACCCTACCCTAGGAACAGGTAATTCAGCCTCTCTAAGTTTTTTTAGCCTGCAGTTCTGACCACTAATAGCCAAAGTTGAGAAAAAATTGGAGGTGCTGTCTGAAAACAGCTGGAGGGCCACAGATGTCTACCCTTGCCTTAGAGAATTATTTAAACCAATTACTGCCAGCAATCAGAGTTCAATTTTTTGATGATCAGCCAGGTGCTGATCTTCAGAGGTATTTTTTCTCTCCAAGCCATTTCTCAGCTTGAGCCCATCATATATGACCACACTCATACATGTTTGCATCTGTCATTTGCTGCTGAAATGTTTTCCCTTTATATCTCCTTATACTGCAGTGCTGTATATAAATATCTATGCAAAAATAAATCGCACAGAATGCAACTGGACTTTCATATTAGTGCATATAGGAGTGTATCCTGAATCTGTATCCCATATAAAGTATCAAAACAATTCCACAGTTTGTGACACTACATATATGAGGATTACTGCTATTCTAACCTTAGATAAAGTTCTGACAGCACAGTTGCCTCTTTAGTTATCCTTTATTCAGATGATAATAGTCATATGCCATCATGCCAATTCTGACTTATGGAGACCTTTTTCGGGGTTTCCTAGATAGAGAGTACTTAGAAATGGTTTACCATTCCCTTCTCCTGGTGGCATCCTGGGATTGTACACCTTGCCCAAAGCCACACAAGCTGACTCCACTTGTAGGAAGCACCGTGTGGAATCAAACTGCCAACCTTTGGCTCCAGAGACAGATACTTAACCCCTGAGCTATCCAGCCAGGAGAATTAAATTAGCAATATTCCTCCTTTTATTCAGTTCACAGACCATTAAATATGAGTCGGAGACAGATACCTAAACCCCTGAGCTATCCAGCCAGGAGAATTCAGTTCACAGACCATTAAATATGAGTCTTCAACACAGTATCTATTTAACTTGCTCTATGACCTCCTTCCCCTTCTGCCCCAAATTCTATTTTCTCTCTGTAGAAAAAAAAAATAGCAGCACTTTGTATGATCAAAGTTACTATAGCTCTAATCCTCAAATGAGACAATTTTCCTTGAGAAAATGTCAGGTCTTGTCCAACTGAAGCCCATTGGTTTAGTGTGGTTGTTCCTGGGTAACTGGCTTGGAACTCTGATTTAAATCAAGAATGAGATCAAGTGCACAAATCTTCAAGACAATAAGTTATACTCCGGGAGCTTTGCCAGCCCCGGCTGGGTTCCCTTCTTCCATCCTGTGTTCCATGAACTCCAGGCACAAGGGTTGCAACAAAAAATGGTTTATAATAACAGGGGAGAGATTAACATACAATAACTGAACTTCCTTCTGCCCAGCTCCTTTCATTGGGGTTGAATCACTATATAAAGTCTTTGATTCCTCAGTTCTCTTCACACGGGGATGCAGAATGTCTCTCTAGACCTATTCACTGAAGTCAGGGTGGGGATTGCAGCCGAGGTCCTTAGTTCAAATGGACTCAGTAATCTTCCTGCCCTCAACCGTGAGAGGCAGTATGCCTACAGGGAGGGCAGTGGGGTTGAAAGTCTCTTTGGGGTGGTCCCATGGTGGTCGTTGCTTTAACCTCCTCCTCCTCCTCCCAGCAATGCCATTCTTGTTGCCTCTTTCTCTGCTAGACTGGTAACTGAGTGGCAGTGGGTTTCTGAGGCTTTGGGCTAGACTACCGCTCCTTCTGAGCCTTCCTCTTCCCTCCAGTAGGCAGTCTTGTTGGGGAGCTGGATGTTCTCATACTTCCCCCCCCCTCTCCCTTAGGGACCCTCGAATGGACAATGATGCTATCCCAGGGGTATTCTTTAGAAATGTAGTTCCACTCCCTGGGTAGCTTGGGGGTCTTCTTCATGTTAGTTCTCTGTCCAGTAAGCCCCTGATAAACTCTCTAAGGCATCTCCCCAGACCTCTTCCTCCAGGCTTCTCCATTTGCTCCTTCCGGGTTAGAAAGGGGTTCCTGGCTCTCCTCCATTTGGCAATCCTGCTCCTTGTATGTTCTCTTTGGCAGTGGGTCTCCTCTGCTTTGTGGCAAGGCCCCTTTTATATCCCCCATCCACCAGGGATATATCTGGAGTTTCCAGGGCCATGAACATGGGTAGGAACCAGTTTGAGCTCTGGTGTCCTTTGCTTGGAACTCCTTCTCCCCTGGCCCCACCAACTATTTAGGCTCCAGAGTCACCAAGCCCTCTGCTGTATCTGGTGGTAGACCGGTCTGCTCTTCAAGCCCTGGGTTGGAGGGTGACAGTCTGCTGACAGGGGTGTCCACATCACTATTCTCTACACATACCCTCAAAAACCTCACCATGGAATACATTAGGATATTTCATGTAATGTGTAGCTGGCTCTGCCTGTCCTCGATTATTGCACTTTAAATCAAATTTTTACAACCTGCAATTAGAATATGTATTTCTTTTTAGTGGCTTGGTGATGACAAAGATTTTTTTTCAGGAGCATTACCTTATAGAAAGAGGAGTTTAAATGCTTTATCAAAGACTGCGCAAAAGATGTCTTTGAGAGAAATGGCTCCAACTTAGACTATAAATTTTGCTCTAGATTTGTGAAATCCTTCAGAAGTGAGAAAATGTTCAGAAATAACTGGAAAATGCTACTCATTATACTAGTAAATGTTGGTTTGTTCTTACTTATTGTGTTATTTTTAAAATACAATTTCATGACCCCCATTACACAATAGATAAATAGTTTCAGGTGGTTGTTACATGTAATGTGTTTCATTTGTTCTGCTATAAACTATAGATGTGGGATTAAATGTTTTGAATGCTTTCTCATATTTTTTCCAAAATGTCTCATAAAATACAAATCTAAATGATCAGGGAATGGGTTAGTTGATTCATGAGGGGGTGCCAACAGCTCCCTCCGCCCAGTATTCCTTCTTCACTGGCACTTTAATTTAATCTGCCCTGCAGATTTAACTAGAGCCCTAATTAGGAGTTATATTAGTTGGCATTGTGAACATGGGTGGGGTGTGTGTGCACATCTTCCCCCCTC